GGGATCTTTTGGTGTTGGTAAGAGTCCACTGTTGCCTGGGCCAGTTGTTATAGAAGCCATCTCTCTCTGCGCCCTGTCGCTCCCTCTGTCATGTGCCCAGGAATGCATCCATGGTCTGATGAAGGCTGTCACCTGCCATGTGGTCTTTTTTTGATTGCGGGCTGGCATCGCTTTAGATGATTGTCCTGTGGTGAAAGAAAGATCAGGACCTTGGTCTTCCAGTCGATAAGTGAAAGAGAATATAGGTTGTTCTTTATCTTAACTCTACTGTTGTTTTCCAGCCAAAAGGTTCCTTTTCCTCCAAAGATGTATTTGCATAGCACACTGATTTAGATCTGTGTCTAGACTTGAATCTACACTTAGAAGCTGTGGGTGGAAACTTGCGGTCCCAGGTGAGCTGGAGGTAAGCTTCAGGCTGTATTTCAGGGAAGGAAATAATGGGGACATTTGAGATTGCTCATCTCGTGCCTGCCATCCTATATGTCCCTCTCTGGTCGTGTTCTTTGTTAATTGCAATCCAGTTGCATGTGAAATGTTAAATGTTGGAGGAACTTCATATCCTGGTCCCACCTTCCCTACTGTCAGTGCAGTTACTCAGTGGCCTCTCAAGTTTTTCAGTTTTTGTCGTGATCTATATAATGGTCATCGCTGCTCCTCATGGTTGCTGTGTGGACTGACCTGAAGTCTCCTGATAGAGCCACAGCCTTTATGAAACCTTAACTTACAAGGAAGACCAAGAGTTTCACAATGTCCCATGTTAATTTACTTACTGAGTGAGAAGTTATCAAACAGAATTGTCCCCCTAAGAGTAATTTGTATGTATGTATAGGAAAGTGAAGCTGTAGCTTGATCATGTTATGACTTCTAGTATTGTAGCAAAGATGCCATGCTCATCGGAGAGATGGCAAAAGGCTTATACAATGTGGACATGGGTCTGCTAGGTTTGTGCAGGGTCGAGCAGATTGTCCTCATGTTTTGGGTTTGTGCCGGGTGGGCTCTGTGCTGTCAGTATTCCCACAGCAGGCACAACGTGTGGAAAGGCAGCACAAACTCCTTCTGGTTAATTCAGCAGAAATACATTTGCTTGCCTGTGCCTCATTTGAATGAGTTCTGTGCTGCTTCACAATTTGTACAGAAATCTCGTGTTAATGAATGGGCTGAATGGCATTAAGCAAATCCTGTTCTCAGTTATGAAAATAATCTATTTTCAAGTTTCTTGCATGGAGGAACAAAACTTACTACCTCAGGATTTTTGCCCTTCCATTTCTTTGGTGGTCTTGAAGTCCTAACCAGTTGCTTTCTGGTGGTTGTGGTACCCAACAGCATGTTTAATTATATCTTTGATTGTCCTAAGGATTGATTGTTAGCAACATCTCTTCTCTCTGGCCCATATACCTACCTCCTGGGTATTTGGAAGTATTAATCATTGGTTAGAAATTCCCATGGTAGAAAGATGCCGTGACAAAAGAGAGACCCTACATAAATTATTTGAGCTTGGAACTGTATAATACAAAGCACAGAAACTAAAATTCACCCTGGTTTTCATTTACCAGCCCTTTTGTTTGTGTGTGTCCAGGCTGGATTAAAAATCTGTGTAGTGGTTGTTTATGGCTGACAACAGAAGGTTGATCCTTACGTGTATTTTTCTTTGAAAAGAAACTTCCTAGACAACCAGCTGGCTTCAGCTGAGGAAAACTGGTGTTTCAGAAAAACAAAACAAAACAAAAACCATATACATGGATGTCAGTGTTCTTCAAAACAGTCACGGAGGTACATTTCTTATCACCTGTATGGTTTGGCATTCCTGTACCTGTCTGTATTGTTTGCACTTCAAGCAGGCACACGTGTGAATTGTAGAATTTAAGAATTTGAGATCTGTGGCCCTGTAGATGCAGACTTACTACTGCTAGGAACAGGTCCCGGGTTTCATACAAGTTGTGCAATGTCTCGGGACTTGTCAGCTTCTGTCTGAACTTGTCTCTGCCCAGCTGGAGCTTTGTTTGGCCTCGCTGAGCTCCAGCAGCAGTTTTTCTAATTACCGGGTGGCCGCTGCTGAGATAGTTTCACTTTGGCTTGTATAATTGTGTGATATAACTGCAGTTTTTTTATAGATAATTGTAGCGAGCGGTGGTTTTGTGCAGAATGGGAGAGCTGTGACCCACACAGAAGGGCATTGTGGGGAGCCTCAGAGTTTGGAGGAAGGAACCATCAACGTCATACCCCTCCTGAGACGTCCTGTGCCAGCCCTGCCACCACCATGAACTTCATCCTCCTGTGGGATGCTCGCCGGCAGCTCGCTGTGACGTCCTCCCACAGCTGAAGCTGACAGTCTTAGGTCTCAGGAAGGGAATACAAGGGGAAGCCTGTCAGCAGAAAAAGGATCAGGTACTAGGAAGTGTGTGACAGCTTCAACTGTATTAAGGCTTTCTGTGTTAGTCCTATTTTCCTCATTTTCTTTTATTTCTTTATCTGGCCATCTAAGCAATGCCTCACAAAAGCAAACAGTGGCTGAGAAGGAACAAGGAATCTTACATTGGTGGTTTGCATTCACTTTCTAAACGACTTCTTTGATGTATACATTTTAAGAACCGTTTCAGAAAAAACATGCAAAATCTGGTTTTATGCTTTATGTACTCTTATACATTAATAAAATATTCTGTTAACTATACATCCTTCAAGAAACCATATCCAAAATAGAACTGTGTCTCCACAGGCTTAGAGGGACTGGGTAAAAGCAGCTGGAGAAGGGCTGGTGAGTTGAAGTTACCTTGAACTGACAGATCCTTGGGCTGCAAGGGATCCTTAGTGCCATCGCCCAGGATACGTCTCTAGAAGCTCAGAGCTTCTAGACTGTTTAGCTGCCTAGCATTAGGAATATAAACGTAGATGGCTCATTTTGTTGTTTTCGAGTAATAGTTGGGCTTGTGCTGAAGCAGAGTTCAACCAGTTTGTGTTGTGCTGTTGTGGTTTAACCAGGCAGACAGCTAAACATGGCACAGCCATTTGTTCACCTCCCACTCCACAGTGGGATGGGGGAGAAAACTGAAAAAAAAAAGAAAAAAAGTGCAAGAACTTGTGGGTTGAGATAACGGCAGTTCAATAAGAAAGAAAGAGGGGAAAAAAAAAGAAATAAACGAATAGGGAAAAAACAAACAAACAAAGCAAGTGATGCACAATGCAATTGCTCGCCACCAGCCAACTGATGCCCAGCCAATCCTTGAGCAGCAGCCCCCTGGCCAACTTCCTAGTGATTTTATTGTAAAAAAAACCATGGTTTTATTGTTCACCATGACATGGGACATCCCCTAGGTCAGCTGTCCTAGTTCTGTCCCCTCCTGGCCTTTCGAGCACTCCCAGTGTCCTTGCTGGCAGGGCAGCAAGAGAAGCTGAAATCCTTGCCTCTGTATAAGCACTGCTCTGCAACACCTAAAACATCAGTGAGTTATCAGCATTATTTTCTCCAAAATCCCAAACACAGCACCAAAACAGCCACTATGAAGAAAACTAACTCTGTCCCAGCCGAACCCAGGGCATGTTCCTAAATGGACTTTGATTTAAAGTGGAACAGCCCAAGTATCTGTACAGGTCTGCTTCATCTGTAAGAGCATCTTTTCCTAACTAAGACTTTCTAGTCCATTTCCACAAAACAACAGCTGCAAAACTATTGCTATGTTGTATGCAAATTTGGCAATTATGTTGTTGTTTTAACCCCCAAGAGCAGTCAGCAGTTTTAGTAGAGGTGTTGACCTAGAACTGTTTTTGCACATCTAGCCAGAGGTTTTCTGTGTGTTGCCATAAAAACTTCCTTCCCCCTTCCTCTTCAGGGAGTGACTTCTGAACCAGTCTGTTCGTAACTTGACAAAGAACATTACTTGGGAGGCTGACAATTATTAGTTCTTCATCTTCTTGTGAACAAGAAGAGTCCGTTACTTCTCCAAAGAGATACTGTGGATGTTTTAAGTTTGCTTATCAGAGATGCGTTTGCTTTCTTCCCAGTCCTTCAAGTGCCCCAAAGAGGGGAGGCAATCTGAACAGAAAGTGAGAGATCATCCTAATTGCCTCTTAGTCGGGAGAGCCACCAGTTTCTCACCTCTGGGCCTTTCCTAAAAGAACCAGTCATTCTGAAATGAAGGTAAAACTCTGAGAAATTGTCTGGTCCGCTTTGAGGTCCAGGGCATTTTGAATCTAGGGATGTGGAGGCTATTAGCTTCCTTTTTATTGCGTTCTGACAGAATACAGGAGAAGAGCGTGAGTAGCTATGGAAGGGTGACTACTTAAGCTAGCACTACAGCTGAATGGTTGTTTGTGAAATTACTCTGCGAGAAGTCAAGTGGACTCTTCACTCAAGGAGACTCTCTGGACCATATGTCGCCTTACTTAGGGCTGACTGTTACAAGTCCAATGGTATCAGTTAAAGTTGAGGGACGGTGACTACTGAGGTGTAATACAGTTATGTTACGGTCAGTAGTAAAATGGATGCTGCTCTGCACAAAAAAAAGAGGAAATATTTCTATTATTCAGGATGTTCCTTAAAAAAAAAAAAAGTGCATGGGCCTTTTAATAAGTGAAGGAAATTTAAATGCATTTGTTTTATGAACTAGGTAAAGCCAAAGCTGCATGGACAAGCAGAGCAGCACAAGGAATTAGTTTGCTACTTCCCGTGTTCAGCCACTCCCAGGAAAGCAGGGCTCATCACGTGTTTCTTGGGAAGACAAATGCCGTCACTCCAAATGTCCCCGTTTCTTCCTTCTTTCCCACCAGCTCGTGTTGCTGAGCATGGCATCAGGTGGCATGGGACAGCCCTTTGGTCAGCCTGGGCCAGCTGTCCTGGTTCTGTCCCCCTTGGCTCCTGGTGCACCCCCAGCCTGCTCTCTGGCAGGGCAGCACGAGCAGCAAAAAAGTCCTTGGCTCTGTGTAAACACTGCTCTGCAACAACTAAACATCAGTGTGCTATCAGCATTATTTTCATCACAAATCCAAAACATGGCATTATACAAGCTTCTGAATAAAATTAACTCTTTTTCAGCCCAAACCAGGATAACTGATTAATGAGCTAGGAATAATTCCTTTTCCCAGGGAGTAATTCAAGTGTACTTCGAGGAAAGTAGGGCATGCTCATCGAAGAATCTAATACATTGAAAATGTGTGTTTTCTAAAAAATGAAATCAATCTTGCATGGGTAACTAAATTTTGTTACCCGTGGGATGGGGGAGTGAATTGCAGAGGTAGAAGTGAGAAAACTGGTGGGTTGATATAGAGACAACTTAATAGGTGAAGCAAAATGTGGAATTTATTCATAGCTTCCTGTTCAGAGGCAGGCTTTGGGCCATCTCCAGGAAAACGTGGCTCATCACACATAGTGGTCACTTGGGCGGGGAACGAGATGGAGGAAAAACAGAACAAAACAAACAAAAAAACACTGTGTGGGGTTGAGATAGGAACAGGTATTTTTGAAACAAGAGAAATAGACTTTGAAATATTCAGTTCTGTATTTCCTGTGGTCTGTTCTTCAGTGCCAGATTTCTGGCATTTTTGATGGAGGAATTGAATTAACTTCTAAGTTAAGCATAAGAAGGGTTAAATTTATAACAGAAAATTACAGAGCAGGAACTTAATACGTTGATCATTTTAAAAAAGTCAAATTTGAAGCAAAGTATTCATGAACAAGGTGAGTAAATGCTAGTTTTTAAGGTAGATCAGTCTTTGTCAATGTATATATGTTATGTATGTACAGTATATTCAAATCACACAAAGCAACATAATAATGATTTCTGTTTAGCTACTACAGCTAACGAGGTCATTTTATCTTAAATAATCTGGTTTAGAAATACATGTATGAGATCTTAAATTTTTATGTAAAGTATAGAAAATTTTTGAAGCAAAGCACTAGGCAGAAACTGTATCATATTGACAAACCTTTCTGGAGTTTGTGAAACTCTGTGAATGAATAACATGATTCTGAAAGGCATAGCTAAATATGTTTTAACTTTTCTTTTTACACATTTTTTTAATTTATTTTTAGTTATCTGGGGAAATTGCTCTCGTTATACCCATAAAGAAATCTTTATTCTAGCATTTCTAATCCTCTAATCTCCCGTGGATTTTCCAGTATATACTAAGTAGGTGTTAATGCCATGGCTCCTATTTTTTTTTTTTATTTTTTCCCTTAGTCATCAATGCTACTGCAAGTGTTTTGGAAGGTCCACTCCAGAATTCGTCTAAAACAGGTGCAAAATGAATTCCTTCAGGATCTGTGATGGTAGAGTAATGCTTTCTGCACAGATGTTACTAGACTTCTTTGCTACAGATAGTTGATGTACATGTTCCTCCAGGTAAAAAACAAACAAAACAAACAAACAAACAAAACAAAGCTCTTTTTTCTCCTTTTTTATTCTTCCTTAAGATTGATAGTCATTCCTTTCCTTTTCTTTTTGCATTGTTTATCTGAAAGTCATAACGGGTATAGAAAGAATATGCTCACTATGTTGAGTTGCAATAGAAGTCTGTTTCTCTTGATATTTTGGTTAGGAGGAAGTAACAGAAGTTTGGGGCATTTCAAGTTTCTGAGTTTGGGAGCTTTCCTAGGACTGTTTCCTGAGGCAAAACACTGTACTACCAAAGATAATGCTTTTCTAAGGAAAAAAGTTTTCTGCTCAGACTCTGCAGAAAGTGCTGTTGAGGGGATAAAGGCTATGTAAAATTCTAGAAATACATCCAGTATTCTTTCTCCTTTTGCTTTTAGTTATTTCTTCTGGTTGTAGCTTGCTGTATGCTTCTGTGCTATGCAGTTTTCATATACTTAAAGGAACATTTTGATTGTTTTCCCACTAAAATGAAAATGCACAAAGGAAATTGTGCAGCCTCTTGAGCTATTAGAGGAATTAGTGGGAAAATCAGGCTCTTTTTTTTTTCCCGTTGACATTGGTCTTTAAGTTCCTTCCAAAATTGCCTGCACTGCTTGAACAGCCTGCTAAGTTCTCGTGTTGCTATTTTAGCTGGTTATTAATGATTTGGAAAATCAGACATGTCTGCAAACTTTGCTGAAGACATTGTTTATTTATAGTAAAATGTACGAAGGATCAAATTGAGGATATTACAAGCTGTATCATCTCAAAACTGTGAATTAGTGGTACTTACTGACCTGAGTTACTGTGTTAAACTTTGGTATCTCAAGCCTCCTTTAAGGGATGTTGGCTGTATGGCGGTGTTTTAGTTCATTAAGTCCCTGAGCAGTGAATGGTTGATGACTAGGAGGATTCTCAGGCAGTGTTGCAGATTCTTATCATATTCTTATATCCTCCCATGGCAGGTACTTTCTGCCTGTCTTGGAATCAGAGTAGCAGGATAGACTGAGCTTTACAATACCTGGTATGGCCAGTCTATCTAGGGGAGGACTACCCATCACCGAATGTGCTATTTTGTTCATACAACCCTTAATCTGGATTTTTCTAGAGTTTTATAACATTCTCAGGTACTCATTTTGAGATAATAAAAATAATCTAGTTACCACAAATTAATGACATGTCTAGGTACGTATAATCAAAATGAAACAAGACACAATTTTCATTTAAAATTGCCGATTCTGGCATTGCAGACCTTTCTGTACCATACTTTGAAGCACTTTGTAGGGGTCATTATCAAACAGAAACTTGAAAATACTGTTTTTCCTTGGTTTGTTAATATTTTAATATATATTTGCACATTGTTGGTTAAGATTGAATACAGTCTCTCTGGATATGATCAAATGGATATATAAAAATCCCATTTCTGAATAGATTAAAGAAGTTCTGAAGAATTAGTATGTGCAGACTTCAGGTTCATTCACATATACTAATCTTAAACCCTTAGGCAAAAATAAATATACCATTCTTTTAAAGCTATCTTTTTTCATATTGCTTGTTCTGAATTGTGGATGTGGTATATCTAAACTGGGGATCCGGTATTTTTTCTTTGTTGAAGTCTGAATGGACTGCTTAGAAAACCTATAGTTAACAACATATTAATGTGCATTTCAACACTGTGCAGTAGCATGAAAATGTGATTTAGATCTGAATGAGAGTAATAAATGGTGACCTTTAACGAGGCTGCACTAATTATTAAAAATAATAAGTTGTAAGGGATGTAAACTGGTTACTTAATACATCCTCTTGCTCCAGGGTAGGATCAAAGAACTAATTAGGACTTGCAGCTACCTAATATGTTCTTAAAGACCTTCAGTGGTGGAGATTTCACGTGTCTGGCCACCTTTAACAACAAAAGATGATAAAACATTACGTTCAACCACAAAGTTCAACTTATGCACTTGTTGTACTGAAGACTCAGCTTGTGGTCAGGCCTCTTCCTTCTCGTTCTGTCTATGTGGGGATCAGAATCTTTTTCTTCTTAGACAGTCCTTGATTTTTGCTTCCTCTGGACTCTAGTGGCTCCATGAATTCCTTGGAATGCAAGACATCGGCGTGCCTAAAACGTTGTTGGAACTGAGTGTTTACCAGCATTAAGAATACTAGACAATTACTCCAAAGTGGCATTTTCGTTTATTAAATCTTGTTTATTTAATATGTTTCTTTAATAGTTAGGCCTGTTTTCCAAAGGCACAAGGGTTTTGACTTGCATTCAATTTGTAGTCTATTGTGATGCCTAGAACCAATTTAACATTACTGCTGTACATGTATATCCAGCTATTCCCCATTCTGCTTTTTTTGCTCTTGATTAATACCTAGCTTAATCTATCTGCCTAAGTTTAAGAGCTCTTTCTTGTCCCTGTGCAATAGTTTTCTGTTTTCAGGTCATTTTTCAGGTTTGTCAAAATCTTTTTTTTTTTTTTTTAAATTTTGGATGATGAAATGGTTGGGATGATGAATAGCTTTCTGTGAAAGATTGGTTTTCTGGTCAGTCCTGCTCCTCTAGACTTATTGGTAATAATAAGTTGAGTCTCCTCATCTGTGTATGATTCTCAACTGGCTGAAGTATGGCCATGACATTAGGATTGTATCACATAACAAAGTTTGTTCTCTCTACTTTTTTTTTTTTTTGTAGGTGCTTAGAAATTTCCTATTTTTGGTATATGTCCTGTTTATCCTTTAGTTTTGCTTAACCTTACTAATTCATGATAAATTCTTTTAGGTATTCGCTGATGGCTCTGAGATATCATAACCATTCTCTAAAACGAAGTCCAAGCTTTTTTGAGTTCAACTAGTATGTTAATCTGTGGTAGAAGTTGTTGATTTAAAGTTATTTCTGTTCCTGATGTCCCTTACATATATTTAATGTTCTTGTTATATATCACTTTTCACTTCAAAGTACTGGAGTTTTAAGGTTTAGTTTGCTCAAATCCAGAATGTGTAACAAAAAGAAGGGTGAGAAGACTCAAGGTATGGTGCTGACTGACCTCAAGTAAATCTTATGCAGTAGGAGGGGAAAAAACTAAGCAGACTTCTGATCAGTGTTGTTAAAAACATACATACATTGATGTCTGATCTGTATTTTTCATCACTTTTAGTAAGATGACTTTTCTCTCTTCTTTTTAAACAGAAATCTTTTGGACAGAGATACATTTTCTAAATCTGATCCAAGTAAGTATATAGCATATTATTTTGTCTCCTCGTCATATATTCCAAACTTGTAAATACTCAATAAAAAATTAGATGGGTGGTTTCTGTGATATCATTTAGAATTACATTGTGACAATTACATTAAACAGTGCTGGTTATGCTCATAGCTCCTATTAGAGGAACTGGAATTTTAAAGGCTCTGTAATCGCTCCTGCTTTCCTGAACTACATGGTCCCTCAGTTGAGCAGAAAAAACTACATTTTCTTAAAATTAATAAATGCAGAAAAATCATTAATTTTTAAGAAAATAATTATATGTTGTTCTGGTTTGTTTTCAAAGCTACTTGATAAACTGGGAGCACTTCTTGCTGCTAGTACATATTGTCCTCTAATTTTGTTTGCTTTTTTCCTGATAGTGGTTGATCAAAGTACTTCTTCAGTGTTAACTGACTAGTCATTAGATTATGTTGTCTCGGTCATGTTGTCTCCTCTACTGCTCTCCATGTCTATTTTTATCTGTGTTCCTTTTTTTATTTGTTTTTTTTTTTTAATAAGCCTGGGCTTTTCTTCCTTAGAATAAATACTGTATGTCGTGCTTGCTGACATTGGAAGTAACCCGAGACATACATGCTTCCATCTTGTGTCTGGACGCGTAACCATGTCCTGATGGGATGTACTTGAACACTGAGTCATGTGGCAGTGCCAAACATTTGAGTGCTTTTGTAAGGGTCTATTTGTCAGTTCTTAATCAAAAGTTTCTTGAGAGAGATTCCACAATAGACTTTGATTACTTCTGCTTCCTGGGGAAAAGCTGCATGAAGTTAGGAGTGCCTTTGACATTTCTGAGCTTTAAAACTTTATTTTTTTTTAATGGAGATATAGGCAATACCATACGTCTGATGTAGAGAAATCATGCAGAAGCAGAACTGAGTATCTTGCATATAGCAAACTATTTTTTAAGCAATTTTGAAAAGTGGTCAATGATACGTTGCCCCTGATAAATTAAATTCAGGGCTTTCTGTATTGAATCAAGGCATCTTTCAGCAAAAGTGATGAGATGTCTAGTTTTTAAACTTAAATACTATTAGGGATAAGTGCTTCAAGATTTTCTCAGGTAGGAAACTGTATTAGGCATAAATCACAGGATTTGAGTAGCAGGCGACTGCCGTGTGACTTGTGTGGGAGGAGGCCACGAATCACTCAGTGGCTGTCACAGCTAGTTGCAGTCAGCTCTGGAAGCCTTGTGAGTAACCACTGCCAGCTGGAACTTCTGCCAGCCAGGGGAGCACACAGTGCCCCTGCCAAAACGCATTTCAGAAAGAAAGTGGCAGCAGCTAGGGGCTAGAGACACAGCTGCTGAAGATTCTCCCGGAGCCATACTTCTGAAGATATGCTGCTGGGAATGCACTCTTTAAACAAGACACTCCTTGTGAAGACCATAGACTTCTGAAGAGTCTATGGTCTGTGGACATCCCGTGCTGGGGCCGGGACACCTCTACAAGGGATTGTGTCTGGTGGGTGACCCACACCAGGGAAGGGATAGGAAAACCTTACTATCTATCTTTAAAGTAATTCTGAGAAGTAATCCAGTGGTATTTTTTATAGATTCAAGGTATGTGGAAATATTTTTTAAGCCGTCATAACCTTGCCTATCACTTGCAAACATACTGCTTTCTTGTTTCTGGTAAGTAGCTTATTTAAAGCACTCAAATTGATGGTGTGCTTTGGAGGTCTAGGCTCACACTGTAAGCATCCAGTTATTCTGCCAATCAGGCCTATCTGTCTCAGGCCAGCAGATTAAAAACATGTAATACAGTATTACCGGCCTTAGTAAAGAGAGAATGGGGAAACTGTTAAATCTAGAAGTGCTCGTGCTGTATTCACACTCAATAAATGACTTGGCAAAGCAGCTTTGATTGTGGATACCCTCCAAACAGTGCGGATTTAGTATTGTATAAGATTTTTATTAGCTGATCAGTTTGCTGCCAGTGTCCTTTATTTCTATGCAGACATATGGCACTACTGTAACAGCTAAAGGGATAAGAGTGTACTATAAAAACTGCTATTCTTTTCTGTACTTGGCAGTATAGCAGGATATCTTTCCTCTGTGTCTGTTTGTTTGGACAAAGGCCATGCTTACGCTGGTCTGTGTACAGTAACTTTATCCTGTTAGCTAAAAAAGGTGTCAAAACCAGCATCATCGTTTCACAAGATCCGCTTTTAGACACACTGCATTCACAACCATCAGATCTTGTAAAAGTTAGAGCCATGCAGAGTTACTGTCTATGTTCAGGTCTGACTGGATTTGAGTAGACCAATTCTAATACATGTTTCAAACTGCAGTGCAGTTATATGGGGATCGTACTTACTGTGAAAATTCAATTTTGACTTCTCGGTCTTCTGCTTAGAGAGTCACACATGAATATAGTTGACTCCCCTGTCCACAAAAGCTGCCTTCTCCTGAAAATAAAAAGGAACCTGTGATTTCTCCAGTTCTCTGAGGAAGCTTGCTTATCCTTTTTTGATACTGTAATTGCTACTCAGTATTCATTCAAATGCTAGCCACTTCACTGCAATCTAGAATATTCATGCCAAGAGGGATCTGGTACTTTGCCTCCCTAGAGGCAAATTACCAAAATAATGTAGAGTTATTAGACATAGATGGGACAGACTTGGATAGTCCTTGAATACTCATGAAGTATTTTAAACAATACCGAAGTTGCTCACTGACAATGCTTTCTCTTTGGTGGTATCAAAACAAGTCATATATACTTATTTATTACAGTAAATTTGGACCTTTCTGTCTTTCCAGTTCGGAGATTTATTTTTTTATAGCAAAATTATTGAGAAAACCCATTCTTTTTAACTTTTCTCATAGAGACTGAGCTAAAGTAGTGCTTCCATGACAGGACAGGATTAAGATCTTCTGCAGAGGAGATACAGATTAATTAAGTTGGTGTATCTTCCTTGGGACAGTTGGGCAAAAACATGGTAATGGTGTGAACTGGGTGCTGGATCGTGAAAAGATTTAGGTTGCATGGAGCCAAGGCCAACTGTGCTGTAGCTGAGACTTTCTTGAAAGGGAATAGATGTTTTTATGCTAGGGAAGACTGAGGTAGGCAGTTTGGATATTGCAGTTGCCTGGCTAAATGTTGAGTATATATGCATTGAATAGGAGAGAACAAGTGTAGGATAAGGGAGGCCCAAACTATGTGGGAAAATGAGAGTGGGAAACTACAGCATTTTGGGAACTGAATCTAGAACTGAGTGATAGTGGTTGAAACATCTGCCCTCTTCCTCACTGAAATATTTAATTATGTTTATGTAGAATTTGACACTGTGTTGTAAGTGTCCGGAGTTTAAAATGACTAAATGTTAATATTTCTGACTGTTGGTATCTTCTGTTGGAAGAGCTCGTACAGAAAAGCTGCAATTCTTCGGTTGCAAATTACTTTGGAGAAGTTGTTTAGGGTCTTTATAAAACCTTCTCTCCAGAAGACATTAAGGTTAGTAAATCATGCCACCAGTGGAGACCAGTAACGTGGACAGTTTTGTGACAATCTGTGGGACAAGCAGTTTTAGAAGAAAGTAGAAGTTTTTAACCTGTTCTAAATCTAATCTTTATCAGATAGTCTGGAATGTATGTCGTTTCTGGGGTTTTCATTATCTTTATTTACATCCAAGACTGACTTTTTTTTTTTTTTTAATGTAGTTTATGAGATGCACATTTCCATATTACTGTCAAATTTGCATCTTGCATGTATAATAAAATAAATATTACTGATGATGACTATTAGCCTGTCTTAGTTATATATTAAGTACATGCCATATCTGCAGCTTAGCTAAATAGCAGAAAATTGCTACTTATGTCATAGTACAGACTCTTAGCTCCTTTCTCCTCATTTAACTATAATAACAATAATTTAAGTTTATAAATGATTCTTAAACGAGAGATGTGGTCCCACTCCTGGGTAGTGGTTTTGGAAGCACTGGGGAGCCCCTGGGAGTGGAAGGGAACAGAAGTCTGCTAATGCTTGAGCAGTGAAAAAGTAAGAAGGATGGCATTGCTTACTCTATGTCCTACAAAGAGAAAAACCCAAATAATAGTAAATTGACCATGAAGAAACAGACTTCAGCAGACAAAGAGGTGTGAGCAGCCTTCCAGAAGGTAGAAATAGAGTGAGATTGAATTAGCTTTAAGGTGAAGCTTTACTATTTTTTAACCCTTTTACATGTTGCGACTCCCATCCATCAACCATAGTAGGAGACTAAAACTATCCAACAGTAATCTTATTTTTTTAATTTTTTTTTCTTTTCATAGCTTTTCTTTCATTTGGCTTCATAAACTGGGAGATAAGGCAGTGCCAGAATGCTTCTTTTCTGAAAATTGGATAGTAGAGGGTATTTTACAGTTGTATTGTTGCTTTCTTCTCCTCAATATTAAACCTCTCATTTTTTAATATTCTTTCTGTTCTGCAGCTGCAATGCACAATTGTTACTTGATTTACTGTATTAACACTAATACACAGGGCAGGATGTAGCACAAAAAGTAAAGCAGGAAATCGATGGTGAAAAATGATTATGTTTAAGAAAAGAGTAGACAATAGAAATATTTGAATAGCAAAAGTGCACATTATCTGTAAAGAGTGGCTTTTTCCCCAAATGAATTTCAGTTGTATTCTCAACAGGGGTGATACTTATGAGAAAATTTTAATTGCAAACTTAGATGTAAGGTATTGGCAAAATGGACAAAATCCACAATTATATCAGCTTTTGAAATTAGTAAGACATCTGCATTCTTGGAAGCTACCACTGAAGACTGGAAAATATTTATCATTGCAGAACCGGTAACATTAGTTTAAAAAAGAGTTGCCAGTGGGGAAGGTGGAAGGGATCTTTGACAGACTACGTGATTTTATGTTAGCAGTAGGGTTATCTCCAGAGAATGTTTCTTAGATTGTTTTTATCCACGGAAACTTCCATTGACAACACTTCGGTCATCTGCCAGGATTATCCTGGCATGGATCTCAATAGATACAAAGGTTAGTCAGAAATTCAGTAACCTTCAGATACATCCACAGCTGACTTTATAGCTTCCATTTCACTCTGTTTTCCCATTTAACTTCATTCTTTATGTAATACATTTCAGCAGTCTACTCCAAAGAGCTGTAATAGGCTCATTGCTTTGGATTCATCCTACTATGAGCAGGAACCAAAGCTAGGAGTGTGATTGTCCAAGGTTTCATTTAAAGTAAATGTAGAAAGACAGACACCTCCACAAAATGACTTCGATTTTTTTTTTTTTGTAAAAGCTTTTTTCTTCTACATCTTATTTGAAAAAAAAAAAAGTATTAACTTTTAACTTCTGTGTCTAGCTAAAATATTGAAGTTGCTATTTTCTGTTCTTCCTCTTATTCACTACTGCCTGATGTGTTTTTAGTGTGGAGCAAATGCCTTCCAAGTAAGAAGACATAGTTTGAAGCTTGCCTTCATTTCTTCTTAGGTCAGTTTATGATTCTGACTTCACTGAGAATGAAGCCAGGCTTCTACCTTTATTGTTCAAGGCAGCAACTCAAAATAGTACTATTTTTAACCTTGTGCTGAAAAGTAATGATTGGCACAGGAGAAGAATTTGTCACAGGAAAGTGTTCGCATGTCTGTCTTTCCCTTATTTAGGAAAGGGTGAGAGTTTCAGGTTAAAATTGCTTTCAAATTGCTAGCTACGAGTAGTTCAAAACTGCAGAAAATAAAGTTTACATTACTGCAAGTGCAAATGATTTACACATATACTGGTGCTTGTAACAGTGTATGGAACAGTGTATGGACAGATAATCAATGTATTACCTCTGTCACCAACCCCTGTGAGGGGAGCTGCAGATGGATGTGTGGTGAGTTAGAACAGGAGAAGAACAGATCTGTAAGCACCGTGAAGCCAGTGGGATTGTGCTGCTTGATGCTTCAAACACAGCTTAGGTAGACAAGTATCACAGATTCTATTTTTATTAGGTTTTAATTAAAAATGATGTATATGCAAGATACTTAAATATAAGAGAATAATTTGTCGCAGAATTGAGGAAGAATACCTGAGAAATTATTTTTTCCTTTTTCCCCTTTCATTTCCTTTCTTTTTTTTCTAGTAGGAACCTCATTTGTTTTTATTTTAATTCTCTCATCTCTTGAAAGAAGCATAATTTAGAGTAATTATGCATTAGATTAACCAGGATAGTTAGGCCATCCAGACCATCCACATTTAATGAAGATCTGCTTTTATGTAATTTTACTTCTAAGGATTTTAGGTGATTTACTGGAGGTCAGCCGTAAAAGTTACCTCCCATTTTAGAACCACAGTATTTATTAGCTCATTGCAGCAACAACTAGACCATATTGTCACTGATCTGGGTAGGCATACTGAAAACTGAGGGGAAACGTTACTATTTGATTGTCATAGTTAATAATTTCAACAGCAAAACAAAATCAACTTATTTAATTTAAAAATACATTCAGTTCTGAAAATGACCAAACCTTTTTTTTTTTTTTTCTCCCTTCACAGTCTGTGTTTTGTACACACAAGCCATTGGAAACAAAGAATGGAGAGAGGTAAGATACAAATGGTTATATATAAACTTTATGGGTGTATTTAATGCTGGTAATTTGCCCTGGCAGAAAAACCGATGTCATAGCCTCTTGAAAGCCATGCTAAACAATGGGAATCTTATGTTCCAGTAAGCAATATCCAGTCACATTATTCTCACTTTTCATACCTGTACCCATATGTCCATTAAAAGGGAGAGCAAAATACAAGAAAATACATGTTTCCTGTTCTACACTCTCCGTGAGTTTTGTGAAGTCAAACATAACTATCAGTCCAGGCAAGGTTTGTGAATATCGAGAGGAAGATACTCAAGCAGTGCAAGATCTAGGGGAAGATTTGGCTGTTGTGATGCTTAGTGTCCTCAAAACTAACCCACAGGTGTGGTAGAGACCTACTTTTCCTGTGCACTGTTTGGGAGAAGTTAGGTGTGGCTGAATATTTACCAGGCAAAAAAGGAGGGATGGTGTTATACATAGATTGCACTGTCTTCTTAGCCTATCCATATAAATACTGGAGAGATATGCCTTAAGAACGTAAATCAAACATCTCTGAATTGGATAACTGCAGAATATCAACATACACAGCCTGGAACTGTCTCCCTGTCCTGAGTCATCTAAGTCTTTTTCCTTAATATTATTCCTTGAAAGAGAAGCATTGGAGGAAGGGTGGTCATCCTTTCCTTCTCTTGATAAAATGTACTTATATTAGCTGCCTTACAGGGATGGTTGATTGTACTGTTCACTGTATGCGTGCCACTGTGTAGCCATGTGTGAAGAGCCAAGAGAGGAATGCACAAGGAGCCCTGATATTCTTGTTTTCAGAAATGATATTTTATGCAATTACTACTGTCTAAAAAATTCCAGCCAAG